CAGACGTCCATCCCCGTGAACACTGGGACGCAACTCAATGGGAAAGGAAAGGATTCTGGTTTCAACCGCTGCGTATATTAGCTGCGACATATGAATCAAGTAAAAATTTGATTGACAGATGACTGTTGATATATGATTGGCCTAGTTCAGGTGTTCAGGCTGACGTAGAACTAACTGGCCTGCAGAAGATAACGGGGAAAAAAAAGAGATTTTAGGACAGGATTTTTTTTTAAATAGAAATTTTCTAACTTTTGGGACAATACAGTCTGATAAAGATAACATTTATATACATATTTAAGCCAGAATGATTTGACATTTAAATATGATTTCCCTTCCACTTTAAGTAAACATACCAGCTGATGGCGTTGGAAGGTTTTCTCTCTTTTTCCATTGGACTTTTCTGTAGTATTTTTCAGTGCAGAGCTGCACTGCTGTCAGGACTGTATCCTTGTAGCAAGAATCCTCCTGCCAGGAGTTTGGGTGTTCTACTCCAGCCTGGTGACTGCAGGTTGCTCCTTAGGGTCAATGTGGGTGTTTAGAGGGTTTCTTCATCGTTTGTGTCTCTGTGCTTTTCCCTGCTATCGACTGACAGTCTGTCCCTTTGCTTCGGTCGCCCAAAGATTGCTGGAGAGGAGCAGCTGAACTAAAACATGCCAGATTAGATTCTTTGAATAATAATGTGATCTAAAAGTCTTTGGTGCTGCTGACCAGCTGAATGTGTATGCTTTGAATCCATGTTGCTCAGTTAGGACGTTCACCTAACTGAACGGTCAACTAAATGATCTGAGGTTGGTCAAAAAAATAAGTATTTTCTTGATTAGAAAAAGGTCATGGAAAGAAATTCAGCTGTTCCTACATCAGAGATCACAGAGAATCTTTGATTATGAAGAGGAGAAAACTGGACAGTAAGAATTAAAGCTGCACAAACAGCAAGGATGTAGCAGTTCTCTGGTAAATGCTCTGATTAACCGTGGAGATTTAAGTCAGTGAAAGACGAAGTGTCATGTTGAGTGGAGGTTTTTGAGGACCTAAATGCAGAGATCAGGAGGCAGAGGTGAGTTTTCTAGATTTAATCAGGTAGTCAAAGGCAGCAGAGGCAAAAATACTGAGAACCAAAATACAGATAAAATCAGGGAAAACTCCTGTGGGGAGCCAGAGACGAGGAAGCAATGAGGAAGTCTGGTTCTGCTGGGGGTTTCTTCCTGTTCAAAGGGAGTTTTTCCTCTCCACTGTCGCTACAAGCATGCTTAGTGTGAGGGATTGCTGAAGAGTCAATGAGTCGATGCAATCAGCTGGTTTTCCTTAGATAGAAAACTTTGAATCAATCTGACTGGATGATCTGGTGAACTGGAAAGTGACCTGAGATGACATGATGTGAATTGGAGCTATAGAAATAAACTGAATAGAATTGAATTGAACAAAACAACAAACCAGCACTGAGTGACTGCAGAGGTGGAGTGTATATATTGGGAGACTGAACCAAGACAGGCTAATCATCAGAGGGGAACGGAAATAAGCACAATGGGGAAACAGATAGAAACTAAAGAACTCAGTACTGGTAGAAATAGACTACAGAGAGACAGAAGACGAAGAAACTAAAAATAAACCCAAGCAGAGGGCAGAACCCTGACAGTAAGCAATGGAGTAGCATTTTTTCATCAGCATGTATAAATATTTATTCAAAATGACAGGAAGACATCAGAAGCATCAGCGTCCAGGTTAATCAGACGAAGGATGACCTGAAATGGGACAGAAGGTTTATTTGAATCCTGAGCGAGATCAGAGCAGCAAACTCTGACAAGGTGAGAGCTAAAGGACAGGTGGGCTGGTCAGAAGGGGGTGTTGGTGGTCCACTTTGAAGGCTTTGGTGACATCTAGTGGCAGAAATTGATAATTGGATATTCTGCCCACTTATGCCAGCCAGCATCCATCTGTTAGCTCCATCAGTTAGAGCAAAGCTCTGAGACAAACCCTGAAGTTCATTTCTCCTTGTTTTTACTGCTCGGCGAATGTGGAATATCTCTGTCTTCCAGTCCCTGTCTCAGAGGACAGGTGTGTCCACTCAGCAGCAGGATGAGCTGCAGCGGGAAAACTCAGTGTCTCTGCTGGGTCAACCTTCGCTTCTCCACTCAACTTCCTTTTTCAGGGCAAATTCTGACTGTATGTTGTTAGCCTAATCTGAGGCTGTTTTTATGCCGACTGTCAGGGGGAGGAAGGCCCCCCAGGGAAGCCTGGGTTCCAAGGGGGTCTTGGACCTGTGGGCAGCGTTGGGCCCCGAGGCATAGCAGTCCAAGGCAAAATAGTAAGTCCTGCTTTACAGTTACTCTCTGATGGTGACTGAAGAACTAATGATGGAGGATTTGGTTTGGATTAATAAAACACCAATAAAACAATTTTCATGTCTTTCTAACACTGACCAAACAGGGTCCACCAGGAGCAAGGGGGGAAAAGGGAGATCCTGGGAGGCCTGGTGTCCAAGTGAGTAATGCTGGGATTCTGTTACTGTTCAGAAAACACTGATTATTTCTGTATTTATGGTATTTACATAAAATATGAAACATCAACAACATGCACACTGAAAGGTTTCCTGTCTGGCCTTAAACTTCTTCCTCTGTAGGGTTTACCTGGACCCCCAGGTCCAAAGGGAGAGGAGGGGATCCCTGGCCCCCAGGTGAGCTCCTTCTTCCAGGGGAAGGTACCAGGTCCTCCAAAAAAAGTAAAAAGAAGAAATCCGACTTGGTTTCCAAGTTTAAAGACGTTTCACTTCTCATCCATGAAGCTTTTTCAGTTCAGAATTAGCATCGAGGTTGAAGCTTTATATAGTAGCCCAAAAACTTGTTTTGGCTTAAGATGTTTGTTTCTTCGGGGCAATTTTCCAGTCGTGCTTGAATTTTTTGATCGGGCCGACGTTCAGCCTGGTCGTGAGTCGTGTGGTGTACAGGGGGTTACGAGCGGCGATCAGCCTCCCACGACCGCCTCACGATCACGTAAGGTCGGGAGAATATCAAACATGTTTGATGTTCTGACCGTCGTGGGCAAATCACTCAGAAGGCAAAGAAAGATTCTTCTTTTTCTTCTTCTTCCTCTCAGATGTAAGCCCAGCAGCATGGCAGAGATACAGTTCTGTCTGTAAAATTGACGGACCGTAGTACCACCATTCTTCAGCCATTTTCCAAATACGTCGTTGCTTTTTCTTTTTTAGGACTTTCAGCACAAAGTTGCACAAATTGCCAGGGTAGCTACATTCACTATAGTGAGCTTAATATTCCTCTTCTATTTGTTTGGCTTCAGGATAGAGAGCTACAGAGTAGTGCTATCTCACTGCAGAGCTGAGTCCTACCTGGTTTTTAGTCGTACAGTGTGAGCAGGTAGATCGCATGAGAGCGTCGGGCTGAACATAAATCGTGAGCTGTGACTCACACTGTACGACTAAACCCTGCGATTAGTCGTACAGTGTGAGCAGCAGCCGCGTGCAACGATTGAAAAAACATTGCACAGTGTACGCCGGGATTTATGAAACATGCAACCAGAAGAACAGGTGTGCTCCTTAGGAAAGGGAGTCAGTTTGGGTTCTTTGGCCTTTAGCCTTCTATACCCGATACTGGTCTACGCCTCTGAAAGGGGGGTCGTTGGGGGCAATTATTGGCTTTGTTGCCCAGACGAGATGTTTTGTCTCCTGCATGGGGGTGGGGGTTGAAATGATAGTGGAAAGGAATCAACTCTTTTGCTTCATTGTAGGTTTTTTAGAGAGCTGAAACCTGAGTCCATCCACTAGACTTGGAAACCGAGTCCAGTGGATCGTTTTTAACTTTTTTTGGAATGACTATGACCTGGATGACTGAGAATCTCCACCAGCATGCCAGGTCCTCTAGCAGAGTGTTGTCGGTACCCCCCTCTCTATGCCTGTCTCTCTCTGTGGTTTTCAGGGCATCAGAGGCGTGGAAGGAAACATTGGCTCCCCGGGTGTCACTGGAGCCAGGGTAAGACAGAGAAATGTCCCTGCTTCCTGACAGCTTGGAAATGTTACCCAGAACACAGAAGATGAAAACAAATATTTGATGAAATATGCAATAAAAAACTCTTTTTTTTTTTTCATTTTATTTCTTACTTTGAGTTAGAATAATGAATGAATGATCAGCCTTAAATATGCCACTTTTAATCAGTAAAACCAATTTATTTAGTCCTAATGGCCTGAAATAATATTTTTTAAATTTAAAAATAGATCTACTAAATGGACATTTGATCAGTTTTCCTTTTTTTTCCCCCAGTGTGATAAAAAAACTTGACTTTATCTTAAAGGCCTCAGATTTCCCCAAAATGTCTGTTTCTTTCTCTTTTTGTGTTTCCACTGAAACATTTTCTGATTTTCAGGGTTTTCAAGGACTTCCTGGACACCCAGGACTCATGGGAGAGAGAGGACCTTCTGGACCTGTTGGACCAACAGTAAGACACCAAACAGTCCAGCCTGTCTTCACATTTGATCAACTACAGGTTTACACTCACGTATGTTCAACTTCACAGGGTCTGCCAGGAAACAAAGGGGAGCGAGGTGAAAAGGTGGGTAACCATTAAACCAAACTCTGAGATCATGCTGAAAGAATCATTATTCAGTTTATCCTGGACCTTTAAAGGTTACATGGTGAAAATGTCTTTGAAAAAGTGCTTGTGAGTAGATAAATATGGCGCACCGTGTTTCATATGTTGATGTGTGAAACTGAAAGCTTTTCTGTTCCAGCAGAGTAACCTGCAGCTAAAATGTTTTTTAATTTTAATTTTAACTTTGGACTTTGTTTCAATCACTTATCAGCTTTAAGGTTTTTTTTAATATAAAAGTGATAACAATTCTAACTAATATGCAGTCTTTGGTGGATGGTCAAGAGAATTTCGGTGGCGCCGGCCCGAGTGTGTATTTTCCAAAACAACAATGGAGCGTCTGCAAGATATGACGGTCACTGAGATGGATCTAGAGTTGCTAGACATGGAAGAGGAACAGGTTCTATAAACGGAGTTGGCAAAAAGACCGATTAACCTTTCTTCGTAGTTGCTCATTGTAGTTGTCCCTCGGTTTTTAAAAATGACGCGCCCCGGTACCAAATCGTGAAGGACGACCACACAGACAGCCGGAAAGTCATACCAAGAGGATCTGCTCAATCCTTCCATGGTGGAAGAAAAGACGGGGTGTTTGGGGCTGAATTCCTTCATCACCCAGGCTGAAGTTACAGAGGTGATCAAAAAACTCCACAGTGGCTAGGCTTGGGGTGGATGAGAACTCCCCTCAGTACCTTCCAGCTCTGGATGTTGTTGGGCTGTCATTGTTGACAAGCCTCTTTGACATCATGTGGAGGTCGGGGACAGTGTCCCTGGATTGGCAGAATGGGGTGGTGTTTCCCCTGCATAAGAGGGGGTACAGAGGGTGTGTTCCAACTATAGAGGGACTTCTCAGCCTCCCCTGGAGGCCTATGCCAGAGTCCTGCAGAGATCTGCTGATTGTCGTACCTCGTCTTCAGGAGTAGTGTGGTTTTCGTCCTGGCCGTGGAACACTGGACCAGCTCTTCACTCTCTGCAGGGTTCTCAAGGGTGCTCAGGATTTGCCCAACTAGTCCACATGTGATTTCTGGACCTGGAGAAGGCATTTCATGATGCCCTGTTGTGGGGCACTTCAGGAGGATGGAGTAATGAGCCCTTTACTAACGGCTGTTAGGTCTCTGTACGAGCAGAGCAGGAGTATGGTCGACATTGGCGACATTAGGTCGGACCTATTCCCAGTGTATGTTGGACTTGGTCATTCTTGGTCATTCGGGAAAGCCTCAGCGTAGAGCCGCTTCTCCTCCACATTGAGAGAAGTCAGCTGGCTCAGACATCTTTTTTCGGATTTCCCTCGGACGCCTCCCTCAGGAGTGACCAGGAGACGACCCAGGACATGCGGGAGGGACTATGTCTCTCAACAGCTGTCCGAGGAGAGGGAAGTGCATAAATATGCAGAGTCATTATTCAACCCTTCACATATTCAAGAAAACTGTTACATTTCATTTCATCACAGTTTCCTTACTATTATTAAATGTAGGCAATTGGACCATAAACTACATAATAAACCTATAATTTATTTATAAATCAGTCAATAAGTCACTGGCCTCTTGTAGAAAAACCACCTTTAGGAATAGTAATCTGTTAAATGTATGAAAGACCCATTTCTCCAATTGTATTTTTATTTCTTATATGAAGCTTTAAATTAAATGAATAATCAAACTTTTTTTCTGATGCCAATAAAGAAATTTAGAATATGGTCTAGGTTGGATCTTACATTCTCCAACATAGACATTCTCGGCTTTACTCGTCACACACCTTAAGGCTTCAACGCTGGACACCTTTAGTTCACCTGATTTCCATAGAATGAAATGAGTCATAAAATGCAGAGAAGTTTGTGTTTAAGCTGTTTGTCTGCTTTAGTTTAGAAATGTCTGTTTTTCTTGCAGTGAGGTTCCTCTCAATGGTTACCAGAAATTTTACTCATTCAAGCAATAATTCATACATACATTAGTGAGGTAAAGGTAAAGCATACGGAGCTGTAGAACTACTTCTAAAAGTTACTTTTTCCAAAAAAGTTACAAAAGTAACTAGCTGAGTGAAAGTAATTTCTACCCACCCCTGCTAACGTGGCTAAAGCCAGGCGTACACTCTACGATTTTTTTGCACTTTTCGGGCCGATTCTCATGTGCGAATTTTTTCCATCGGGCCGACTTTCATCCAGATCGTGCATCCTGCGTGGTGTAGCTATACAAGGAGTAACGAGGGCCGATCAGCCTCTCACGATCAGCTTCCGATCAGGAATCATAAGGTCGGGAGAAAATCAAACATGTTTGAAATTCAGTCGGCTGTTGTGAGGTGTTCGTGGACAAATCCTGCTGTTGAGGCAGAGCTATGAGCCGATTTACCAGAACCTTGAGCAAACGACGGAGTTCTTGTTCTTCTTCCAGACAGATGAGTCCGACCAGCGCCATCTCTCGGCGCTGAGTCTGAGCTGTGGTTTTTGGACGTGCAGGTAGATCGCATCAAAGCGTCGGTTACACAGTGTGAGAACAAACATCATGAGCTGTAAACATTTAACCTCTGCGTCTTCATCATACAATTTGAGTTGTAGCTGCGTGCAACGATTGAAAATATCGCACAGTGTATGCCCGGCTTTAGCTAGTTGGCTAGTAGCCCCTGGGCCCGTCGCTGCCTGGCCTCACTGCTGGTCAATGTTCTGGTTCTTCACAGGGGGAACCTCAGTCTATGGCGCTGATCTACCAGCTGGTCACACAGGCCTGTGAACAACTGGTTCACAGTAAGTACTGGTAAACAGGGCAGTGGTAATGCTATCATCTAGCTAGCACCGTGATCTATTTTGGTTTTTAGTCAGTGCAACATAAAAACGGAGGTCTTCTTTTCCAGAGGAGGTGTTAAAGCTTGATTCCTATATCAATGAGATCAGTCGAAAACCTGTTCCTATTGAGGAGCCAGTTGGTCCCCCAGGGGAACCTGGCATTCCAGGCTCCAGGGGCCCACCAGGTGCCAGGGGGAACCAGGGGGAAGTTGGCTCAAGAGGGAGACCTGGGAGGCCGGGATACCCAGGAGAGCAGGGTAAGGTCTGATCCGTCTCATCAGATCTGCTCAGCAAGACCTCCTTTTCAGTTGATTCTCTTTTCTCCTTAGGGAGGAGAGGAATTCCAGGAGAAAAGGGGGATCCAGGAAATAATGTCCAGGGACCCTCAGGAGTCAAAGGGTTTGCAGGTACAGATCTTTGACCTCTTGGTTTACTTTATGACGCCAGAATCCAACAGATCATCAGCAAGCTGCTATGATCTGACAGGCCTGTGTATTCTATGTGTGCAGGTCCTCCAGGGGAGTCCAAGCTGGGGGACCCAGGTCCCAAAGGAAACGATGGCAAGCCAGGACCACCAGGGGTCCCCGGGCCTCCTGGTCAGCCAGGAGAGGTTGGACCTGGGGGGGTTTGTGACAGCAGTGGAGGCTGTCACAATGCTCCAGGACAGACAGGTTAGCTGCTGGGAGCGGATGAGGAATGAAGTCTGGATGTCTGGAACCTTCTCTGCAGTCAGTAGTTTTATCCCGTTTTCTCTGTTTGTGCTTCTTCATCCAGAAGACCCTTATTATGGCTACCAGCCCTGAGGCGGGGAACCAAACGATGAACAATAGGGTGAAATAACTGGTTCCTTCAGAGCTGAGTGAGAGCAACATGAAGCTGCTTCAGCCGTCGCCTTGGTCCAGTTTGAAATCACTAACCTGTGATGAATCAGAGAGCTGTCAGATGAACGCCGGATGATACAGTTAGCACTGAACGATTTGGTTTGTTTTTCATGTATTCATGCACTGCATCATGTACCGCCTTAAACCCAAGAATTTCTCTTTATTTTCATTTGAACCATTTTGGCTCAGAGATAAAGACTAAACTCTGTGGTATAAAAGGATGTTTCTTCCCACATTATATTGAATAATACTGTGAGAGTGCATTTATATGTACAATATTTTTAAATATTTTTATAGTATTTGCTGTATCTTTCTAAATTCACGTATATTTTATTGATTCTGAATTTTACCTGAAAACTCCTGTTTACATTTTTATCATGTTAAGGTTGATAACTTTTTATGTGTAACAGAAAAGATGTTTAAGTGTTGAATAAAATCCAGAATTATTGTTAAAAAGTTTTATTGTAATTAGATGGATTCAATTCAATTCTATTCAGTTTATTTCTATAGCTCCAATTCCCATCATGTCATCTCAGGTCACTTTCCAGTTCACCAGATCATCCAGTCAGATTGATTCAAAGTTTTCTATCTAAGGAAAACCAGCTGATTGCGTCGACTCATTGTCTCTTCAGCAATCCCTCACACTGCGCATGCTTGTAGCGACAGTGGACAG